ATGCTAACACCCTGCAGAGTTCCACACAATTGGCCCTGCCCAAAATGCTTACCTTTTACATCACTAAGGATTACAGAAGCAGGACACTTGGCAGTTTTATCTGGTCTTGAGGATCCAGATGGAAGGCTTGTGTCACATTTAGGCAGTCACAGTGTCCTAGGATTGTAGTAGCCATAAGAGGAAAGTGGTAATTTCTTTGGATAGGGATGTGGTAGTTGAGATTTGAAGTAACTAATGAGAGGGAGATCTCCCCATCAGTGGATTTTTTTTTTTTTTAATTTTGCCAGTGGGCACATGTGCTTATCAGAGAGAGACCGAGAAAGACAGAAAAGGAACATGAGAAATCAGCCTCCTAAGGGGAATGGTCATGCTGCAATGCCTTCTCCATTTCTCCCTCTTTTTGGGATTTTTAGCCATGTATGCACATATGCCTGGTGTGTTTCTCAAGCCACCAGATCTGGGACTTGCACTGCACAGTTGGCCATGCGGGATCCAGCTGCTTTACTTACCATGCCACCAGCTGGCTTGGAATTTATTTTTTTCAAGAATTATTTATTTAATTTTATCTATGATACTAATTTTTAATGTTCTATAGGGCATGTCCACTCATCAGAAAGAGACAGAGAGAGGACAAGTAAGAAAGCAAGCTGCCAGGTCGGGGACTTAAACTGCGGCTGGCCATGTGGCAGTCCAGCACCTTAACCACCATGCCACCTGCTGGCCCCAGAATATTTTTTATACAATAAATTTACACCCTCAAACTTACTTGTTTCTCGAGGTTCTGCTATTCATTATAAAAGAGAGAGAAAAAAAAAAAAAGACTAGGGTTAAATCATCACTCAGCATCCTTATAGAGAAATGTGTAGTCCATGCTGTACAGACTTCTCATTTTTTTCCTTAGAAACATTTCTAGCCCACTTATTTTATGTTAGAATCATAGATTAGTCAATGAAAAAAAAATTTTTTTTGAGAGGTTTTCGCTATAGGGTGCATGCAACTCGCCAGACAGACAGAGACATAGAGACAGAAAGCGAGAAATCACCCCCCAGGGGGGATGGTTACACTGCAATCCCTTCTCCTCCATTCTCCTCTCGGGATCTTGGGCACGCATGCACATGCGCCCGGTGTGAGTTCTAAGCTACCGGGTCCGGGACACAAACCACAGTTGACTACATGGGAATCCAGCGACATAGCCATTACGCTAACTGCTGGTTCCCATCAATGAATTTTTGAAAAGTGATTGAAGAAGTAAGAAAGAACACCAGAAACTACCTGTAACTGTCATGTTTCTGAATATTTCAACAGAGAAACACAAAATATACTTTCCTTGTTGTCATTCATATCATGAAAGTAAAATAATAGCTAAGTACTTGGAACTTTGGTTTTAAATGTGATTATTACCTTCAGAAATAACTGGTTTAAAATGGACCAGAGTATTACTGAAATGGGCAACAGATACACTTCTGTTCCCAAAGACCATCTCTAAGGAAAAATTGCTTTTCCTTTGTGGCATTCAGCCTTAGAGAAAAGACTTCATCATCTTGTACGTAATGTGGCTTTCTGGGCTGCTGATGTCTTCATAAAATTTGACTGGAACTTCCTTCTCTTGAAAATGAATGGGCATTTTCTTGCTCTCCACACTCATAAGTTTCACTTTCAGAGGGCCTAAGTTTACATAATCCTGTGGTGAATAGACACAGAGGAGAATAGGAGTGGTTATTTGGCAATGTCCCAGCCTTAGTAGATCAGGTTATCTTCATTATAAATGGCCTTGATCTGACAGATTTCAGAGCCCTACTAATTGTCTTAATGCTGTACAATAAGCCACTGTCAGAAATGAAAAACCACATTCAGTAAACATATATACCCACTAGGATGCAGAATACAAGCTCTCCCAAAGAACTAGCAGGTTCCAGAGAATGCTGACAGGCTCCTCTCACAGGGAGTGGAGGGAAGAAAGGAGGCACTGGCTAGACTAGGGGAAAATATCCTCTGTAAGCTCTTTTGTT